ATCTCCGACCCTGGCCAGACTTTCTATGCAGATCTGGGACTGGTGCATTTTAAAAGACATTCCGATGATAGCAGTCCATCTGGCCGGTACGGACAATGTGGAAGCGGACCTTCTCAGCAGGCGCATGCTCATCTCTCACGAATGGGAACTAAATCCCCAGACACGCGAGGACCTTTTTCATTGCTGGGGGTTTCCCAACATGGACTTGTTCACCAACCAACAGAACAAGGTGTGTGCGACTTTCTGTTCGAGAGTGGGAATCAGGTGCAAATCCCTAGGGGATGCCTTCAAGATTCCATGGAACAACCTGAATTTTTACGCCTTCCCACCGATTCCTCTGGTGATGAGAGTCATAGTGAAGATTGTATACGATCGGGCCATGGGGATACTAATTACTCCTTGGTGGCCACGCCAACCTTGGTTTCCCACATTGCTGGACATTTCTCATGGGGAATACCTTCATCTTCCACCGCTCCCGTACCTCATAACCCAGCAGGACGGTGCACTTCACCACCCAGATATACTATCGTTGAAACTAACAGCATGGCGAATTCGATAGCTGACTTTGTTACGTCTATACCGTCGACTACTTCAAGTGGTTTGAATCCTACCTTCGAATCCGCTACACTTGCAACCTTCGAATCTGCTGGAGTCAGCGCTGCTCCAGCACTGTCGGACCCGACTATTGCTCCATCGAATCCGACAACCTTTCATCCGGACATTCAATACATCTTGGATTCTGCTCTAAAGCCTTCCACACGGAAGTCTTATGCAGCTAAATGGAGAAGATTTTCCACCTTTTCCGAGTCTCGTTCATTCTCTCCACTTACATCATCAATGCACCAAATTCTCCCGTTCCTCTTAGAACTACATCACTCTGGACTGAAACCATCTTCGATTAAGGTGTATACAGCGGCAGTCGCCTATCATCGTGGCATGCTAGATGGAGCGTCCATCTTTTCTCAACCTACTGTTAAGAGGTTTCTGAAGGGACTTTATAATCTGAATCCATCGATCAGGCCAGTAATGCCTACCTGGAGTCTCTCTGTTGTTTTGCAAGCACTTACAAGAGCTCCTTTTGAACCGTTAGCAACAGTTGATTTACGTCTTGTTTGATAGAAGACAGCGTTTCTAGTAGCGGTTACCTCGGCCCGAAGGGCCAGTGAGCTCTCCACGTAGACCCACCTTACCTCAACTTTCATAGAGAAAAGGTTGTCCTGAGGCTCGATCCATCTTTTCTCCCAAAAGTGTCCACTCCCTTTCATATGGAACAAGATATCAATTTGCCGGCCTTCTTTCTGTCTCCATCGACTCCGCTAGAGAGATCATTGCACTCACTTGACGTTCGGCACTGTTTAGCCTTCTACAGATCTAGGACGGAATCTATTTGGTGTTCAAATAGACTTTTCGTTAAATATGCTGCCGGAGATCAGGGCGCTCCTGTCACTCCACAAAGACTTTCTAAGTGGATAGTCCATACTATCACTTTATCCTATCAACTGGCTAAGATTGATTTACCCACAGCTCCTCGAAGCCATTCAACTAGGGCTGTTGCTACCTCCTCTGCCTTTGCATCAGGAGTACTGATTGACGATGTATGTCGGGCTGCTACTTGGGCGAACCCTTGCACTTTCGCCAAACATTATCGTTTAGACGTTCGGGCTCGACAAGATTGCTCCTTCGGCAGAGCCGTTCTTTCATCTGTTCTTCGTTGAGGACACCTCCCCTCCTCCATTATGGTAAGCTTGTTAATCTACCCATATGTGTGATGCACAGAGGCCACAACAAAGAAAAGCAGGTTGCTTACCTGTAACTGATGTTCTTCGAGTGGCCATCTGTGCAGTCACACAACCCACCCACTGGCCCCGCTTGGTGTCGGTGAGTGGATATTTTTCGTCGGTACCGAACGTTTCCTTTTTTCTTGGTACCGATATCATTTACAGTAGGAATATTTTTTCCACACGGGGGCGTACATTTGGTCATCAAAGACTGAACAAAATGGCGGACGCTCCGCTCTTTATAGGCCATGGGGGAGGGGGAGCGGAGCTTTCCCACCAAAAACCGTTAGCTTGTAATCTTCCGGCCAAAGGCACTGCGCAGGCACAGCACCCATATGTGTGACTGCACAGATGGCCACTCGAAGAACATCAGTCACAGGTAAGCAACCTGCTTTTATTACAAAATAATACTTAAACAAACAAACCTATTTGCACAGTTTTTTGAACTTCTGAAGATTTGCCAGCCATTGACAAGCCCTCTAATGTGCCACTGAGGCAGTCTGAAAGGGCTGTCAAAGCAGGGATTGTGGAAGCCAGCTGTGAAAGCCCGTTTTTATGATGTGGAGGGTGGGGGTAAGAGGAAGTTCAGGGGAAGCCAAGTTAGTCTTGTCACAGGGTTCCGTGCAAGAGGACTGAGGGGAAAGGAGGGAACAGACAAAGCATGGTGAGCCCAAAGCTTTGTCAAGCACTCTGTGGATTGTTTAGCCACCAACCAATCCACCATGGCTTATTGCTGGGTAGGTTGGCATGATGTGCAAACCTGCCCAGTGCCTTGTGAGTTACATGGCCTGTAAGTGGACTACATGACAGAATGGGTTTCCAGAATCCCAATCTATTGTTCTATTCACCGTATCGTACTAGCTCTGTAAAATGCAGCAAGCAGCATGCAATGTCTGCCAAGAAATTATGTCCAGAATTTTTAGGATTTGTATGAATGTATCCAGACTGAAATTGTGCTCGATATCCATTGTACTTCCACTTGCTGCTCTGCAGCTTTCCCACAGAGGACCTGCATGCACAGTGTCACCACAGTCATATGATAGCATGGCAGTGGAAGCTTCCAAGAACTCTGTGGTTCTTCCTGCAGGACCCTTGAGCTTGCTGTCAGTTATATGGATAGGACACCCCTGACTCCATGGGGGCTGTTAGAAGGACATCATGCAGCGAATCTCAGGACACAAAACAGACTGACGTGTGTGCATGCAGACAGAGTAACACTCACACTGCTGCAAATGTTTTAAGTACTTCTCAATGCCAGTTGCTGGAATATGATTCGGAGGGTACTACTGCACTCATGACCTGCTTCTGGGGTCCCCACAGGCATCTGGCTGGTCACTGTGGGAAAAACGCTGAAGTGATACGATCTAGCATGGCTCTTCTTATGTTCTTAAATGCATGTTAAGTGATATTGGCAAAAATGAGTATTAATCATAATGAACAGTCTAGGCAATCTATTTGCATAGCATAAGGCAATGGGGTAAGAAAGGTGCTTCCCCGAGAAAAACATTAGTAATGGAGGCACCGCGTGGTGCTGGTTCTGCTCCTATCTCGACGGCCGATTTCAGAAGGTGGTGCTGGGGGACTATGGCTCTGCGCCATGGCAGTTATGCCATGGAGTTCTGCAGGGGTCTATTTTGTCCCCCTTGCTATTCAACATCTACATGAAACCGCTGGGAGAGGTCATCAGGAGGTGTGGGCTGCGGAATCATCAGTATGCTGATGATACCCAGCTCTACCTCTTGTTTTCCACCAATCCAGGTGAGGCAGTGGCTGTGCTGAACTGGTGCCTGGCCGAGGTAATGGGCTGGATGAGGGTCAATAAACTGAAGCTCAATCCAGACAAGACAGAGGTCCTGTTGGTGGGTGGTTTGGGCCTCAGGATGGGGGACTTGGGCCTTGAACTAAATGGGGTTGCACTCCCTCTGAGGGACAGGGTTCGCAGCTTAGGAGTGCTCCTCAACCCTGAGCTGTCTTTAGAAGCTCAGGTGACGGCGGTGGCAAGAAGTGCTTTCCTTCAGCTTCGGCTGATCCATCAGCTGCGTCCCTTCCTGGAGAACGACTGCCTGGCGACAGTGACACATGCATTGGTAACTTCCTGATTAGATTTCTGCAACATGCTCTACGTGGGGCTACCCTTGAAGACGGTCCGGATACTTCAATTGGTGCAGAATAGAGCTGCCAGGCTGCTGACGGGGACTGGGCGTTGTTCTCATATAACCTCAGTTCTCCGTCAGCTCCACTGGCTCCCGATTGAAGTCCGGGCCCAATTCAAGGTGTTGGTGATGACCTGTAAAGCCCTCAACAGCTTGGGTCCTGGCTATCTAAAGGAACGCTTGCATCCATATATGCCCTCCCGCCCCTTGAGATCAGCAACAAATGCCCTTCTCCGGGAACCCTCTGTGAATGATATTAGGAGGGTGAGTACCGGGAGGAGGGCCTTCTCTGCGGTGGCGCCCCACCTATGGAATGCGCTCCCCAGAGAGGTCTACCTGGCGCCGTCGTTATTTGTTTTTCAGCGCCAGGCTAAGACCTTTTTATTTAAAACTTATTTTAAGTGTTAATGTATTGGTTATTTGTAGGATTTTAAATTTTTTAAGCCGAGATGCACCGGGTTTTAATATTTTTATTGTATAATTTTGTTCTTGTTGTGAGCTGCCCCAAGGCTTTGTTGCAATGGGGGCGGCATAAAAATGTTTTAAATAAATAAATAAATAAATGGGGGGAGCAGTCTTAATCCAAACATAGTAGGGGGCAGACTGATGAAAAAGCAATGTTCAATGTTTCTAAGGTTCTAAGGTTTTGAAACATTCATTCAAAGGAGTAAAGCTGACTGAAAATGGTGAGACTTTCTTTCATGTAAACATGCATAATTTTGCTTCTCAAAAAAGCCAAAATCTCCTGCAAATAGTGATCTGTTCCATCAGTTCCTAATATAATCAGCTAAAAATGGAAACAGAGACGCACAGGGGATATTAAGGAAGTTTTTTTTTAAAAGCTGAGCTGCTTACTGTCCTGTCAATACCAATGAAGGCATAAACAAAAGCTACTGGGGGGAGGGGAGGGGACTGGGGTGTTTCTAACATTTTCTAGCAGCTCTGCAAAGAGGCCTATCTTGGGCCTTGGGAACCCACAACCTAAAAAACCAAATTTTGCAAAAGCAGTTTAACACACTGGAGAAATCTGCTTCCGAAAAAGTGGGTATGAATTAAAGTAGTTTCTTACCTGTTTCCAGATGTAATATCTCTCTGCTTTTATAATCATATCTACAACCAAGGCATGATTGCTTCTTGAAGCTATAGTTAGTGCAGTTTTTCCTTGCTGAAAATGCAAACACAGAATTATGAAAAATAGACAAGAATACTGAGTCCATAACTGAGGAGAAATAAGGTTATCAATTTCTGCAATTTTCTGTACATCAATTATCCCAAAGCACAAGTGCAAAATCAACTTGGGGAGAAATGCATGATATAATGAGGTGTTTGGAATACATCGAAATTGAGAAGGATGTAGTCTTCATGGGCAGTGGTGGACATTGCCAGTTTTGAAACTTTATGATTCTCTAGTCTGCAGTGAGCTGGAACATCTCACCAACTCCTTCAACGATGATCACAGGGGGTAGTCCTTATTTCTCTCTGAATGCAATTCTCCATTTCAGCTTGCAAAGCCGGGAACCAAAAAGTCAGCCCCTGTGTTTTCATGGATCCTTCTTCCTCAGGCCCACTCCCTGTAAAGATGAAACCCATGTGGCCATCACACGAACCATTTCCTTGTGTTACTCCATTCCATGAAAAAGCAGGAACACCTTCAGCTGAGCACTGTTCCAGCCTGGCTTTTTAAAAACTAAAGTGCTATCTAATGTCACTGTTCATAATCCTCTGATCTTGGAGGTTTACAGAAATCCAATGGAAGGCAGGAGGAACTTGCCTTCCAAAACACATAGATGGCTGATTTTGGCTATCTGAGAGCTTTACTTGTTCTCAGAAAAAGGAGGGGCTGAGGCATCACTGGCATTCCTCATAACCTGGAAAATTCCTGGTCTTGCCTTCCCCATCCTGCCCCCAGCACCAGTAATGGTTCTGAATTTGCACATGCAACTTTAGAGTCAGAGGCACAGAGAGAACTGCACTGGCTGAAAGGCAGCAGAGGGCACTCCAAATTTACTACAATGTTGGAAGACTTTTCCAAGGTTAGAGCTGGGGCTTCACATTTTCCTAGCGCTGTCTAGTCAGAGTTTAGAAACCAAAGGGCTGAACCTTCAAGGGAATTCATTCCTGTGTTTAAATATAATTCAGTTAAACATTTTCTGACAGATTTAGACTGAATATGCATGTGCTAAGTGTATTCATTCATCCTGACTGGGAATGCTGGGAGTTGAAGAATTTTTTCCCCTGTCTAAATATGGTAGGGTTATGCCTTCCCTCAAGGAGAAACTTGAGTTTATCCTCATAACAGCCCTGCAAAGTGAGTTAGAGTGACAGATAATGACTTGCAGAAGGCCATCCACTTAATCAGGACTTTGAATTCAAGTCTCCCTAAAAATGAGTAACTCTGTGATGCAGTGGAAAGACACAGATTAAGGAGCACCAAACAGGAAGTGACCAACATAAGAGTAAAGACAACATTTAGAAAAATGGTTTAATTCATTTAAAAATTTTGTTTTAAGATTATGCCAGGCTGACTCTTACTGGTAGGAAACATGTTCTGCAACAAAGTGTCCTGTCTTCTCCATTGTTTATGTTGGGAAACAAGGTCTAATCTCATCTATCATGCATTTTATTATAATAATATTTACATAGTTTCTCTTTTCCCTTTTTCTTGGCTTAGTTTTAACTAATATTCCACTGTTTTATAATAAATTATCACAATCATTTATTTTTAGTTGCCTTTAAGAGCTTTACTAATGTACATTTGTTAATAAGGAAGCCAAATGTCTATGCTAACTGTTACTGCTCGCGAAGTGCTACATTCCATTTTATTTCTCGGTTAGCCACTGACCCTTCAGTAATCCAAGTGCATTCCTGTTGTTGACAACTCAAGGCCACTCGTATTTCTGTGATTGTATTGAGTTACTCTATAATCCTTTTATGTCATTGGATTTACACTTAAGAACAGCTGTTCACAACAGAATTCTTCCAGAATTTCCATGTGCTAAAAGGTTTAAGCATTCAGAGAGGAGAAATTTATTTCTTCCCACTGATATCAAGATGGTATCAGTGCTTCCCTTTACATTCCATTGGGTCCTAGGCAATGCAAAGCAATGCAACCTAAGCAATGTCACACACGAAAAGAAGCATCTTGTCTAAGAGTACAGCCAATGAGCCAAAAGAATGAATGCCAAAGCACAGGCAAGTCCAGAAATTGATTTAAGGATCTGGACACTAAATTCATGTAACCTGCTCTTTTTAGATGCTTCGGGGATGTCCCACTCCCACTTTTACCACCAAATATTTCTATTGGTTATTTTTTCATATGTGCTGAGATGTTTTAACTTTCAGAAAATAACCTTGATACCTTGAGTCTTGGCTCCCATTGAAGAGCTTCAGTCAGTACAATAATTCATGTATCCAGACATAAATGTAACAGCATTTATTGCCTTATGTGGCTTGATGGAGTACATCTCCCAGCTGCATTTTCAGTCAAGTTCTGGAGCATGCCTCTCATTGCTTCCTTCTATGGAAGTTCAGCTGGTCACACAAAGGAAGAGGGTCTTTTCAATGGTGGCCCCCTAATTATGGAGCAAGCTCCCCACTTATGTCCTGCCTGGCACCAACTCTTATCTTTTAAGTGCCAGGTTAAGACTGTCCTCTATGAGAGGGCATTTGATCTCTAAATACAGTGGCACCTCAGCTCACGAACGTCTCAGTTCACAACCAAAACGGGTCATGAACAAGAATTTCATAAAAATTTTGACTCAGGTCATGAACTCCACATTGGGTAGTGACCGCGATCGCGGCCATCTCCCCACCCCCCCCC